CTATGCTAACTGTTCATTGAATTCTAGAAAAATTCTCGAAACAATTCATTTCGCTCAATAATCTTAGTTAATAATCTATTGTGTTTTCTTATTTCGAACGAATTAATTGTTTTTCTCAGAATCTATGATAAATTAAAGGTCAAGAGTTTAGTTATATTATTATTTTACTGATTATCTAACTGTAATTTATTATCTTCCACCAAAGAGTATACTCTTTGTCTTCCACCTTGTCCATGAAATTCATACAAGTTAGTAACTATAGTAGTGCCATCTTTTATTTCTTGAGCTAGCTATACTTGATTTTTTTCATAAACAGAAAGTCACGTTTATTTAACCTCTTCAAATTTTGTTAATTAATTTCTTAATTAATCGATTATATTACCTTTTTTGAGTGAAATAATCTTTATTTAAGTGTCACCAATGGATAGTGAAATTCTGGAAACTTCCCCTGATCCTGTCATCTCATGTTTAAGAAATTTCAAAGACTACATGTGTTCACTCCTTGCCCCCAAAACAAGAGAGAAACACGTTGTCAACATTGAAAATAGTTTTGCTCTTATTCTTGAAACCTTAGCTTCCGCATCACAAAACTCTGAAGTTATCAAGAAACTCGTTTCTATTGAAACAGCTCTAAAAACTCAACAATCATCAACATCATATGCTAGTGTAACTGCTGGTTCTAAATCCAAAGTGAAAACTTTTCTGGTCAAACCTGCAAATCCTGAAAAGAATAAAGAAACAAGTGAGGCGATTTACAAACAAGTGAAAGCTGATCCCACCATCAAGATTGACTCAATACATACTGGCAACAATTTCATTAGAGTTACCTCATCTGACTCACAAACTGGAAGCAAATTGGCCAAAATAAAATTTCCTTCGGAAACTACCATTAACGAAGCGAAAAAATTGCAACCACAAATATCGTTCTCAGTCAACAAAGATCAATTTGAAGGGGCAGAAACTTTTGTAACAAGGAATAATCTACCGGACAACGAGTGCGTTTTCGTGAAGACGATTGACTACAAATCTTACAATACGGATATACGGAGATACGGAAAAAATTAAAATCATCGCCAGATTATCCAAAACTAATAGAGCTTTCCTGGCAAAGCAAAACAAGGTGTTCATGGGAGGTCATAGTGTACCCTTCAAATCGGACATATATGTTAAATTTTGTACCAATTGTTACAAGCCTGGTCACCTAACTCACCATTGTAAACACCCTGTTAGCACTGAGCCTCATCCTGAGGACTGTTGTATGCTCTGCAAAACAGCGAAGTTTGAAACAACTGATCATAAACCTAAAGCAAGAAATTGTCAAGCCTACCAACAAGAACGAAGAAGAATTGCCAACATCACCGACTGGGAGGATGAACAGTAATATGATCTCAATTTATAATCATAATTGTATGGGTGCTAATGACAGAACGCTAAATGCTATTAACAAATTACATGAGCATCACATAATGACCTTACAAGAATCATCATCAGCCCCACTCCTAAATCTTGTTAATCAGAATCATAAACTCTTCACTCATGGGAGATCGGCAACTATCGTCACATCTCTTCTTAACCCTTCATCTGAATCCCTTGCCACTGACTCAATCATAACTAAACTCTACTTGGAAAACAAACCCTTCTTCATCATAAATATCTATATCAGCCCAAACACATCTAAAATTGAATACGTCAAAGAACTGAATGTCATCTTCAACCAAGTCAAGAAATTTCAATTATCACCAATAATTATGGTTGGAGATGTAAATTCAACCAACTCGCTATGGTCATTCTCCATTAATCCTATCAATGAAGAAAAAGGCATCTATTTGGCTAACCAGTTAACTAAATACCATATTCTTCCTTTCAAAAAACCAGATATATACAACTACACTTTCGTTAGTACTAAAAACACACGATATTGGATTGACTTAATGGCTTCAAACTTTGGTAAATTATATCCATCTCATCAAGTGATAATAAACTTTCAGGACATCTCCTCTGATCACAGACCCTTCATCATCTCTTTCTCTGTTGATGGTAAGGCTATCAAGCCTCTCAGAAAAAAGATCATTGTAATTAACAACAAACTAGTAATAGACCAAGTCAACGCCTTACTCTCAACCCAGCCTGAAATTGATGATCTTGGTGATAAGGAAGAACTGGAGATGCTGATTAACCAAATCTTCATCAAAATCGTAAACATCTCATACAATGCTAAAAGAACTCTAATAGTTAGAAATACTATAAATAATTTGGTTGACAATAATCTCCTTCTAGAGAAGAAGAAAATACTCAAATTAATCAAAAGATTTCACTTGATAATATCATCTTATGATCTTACGATGTCAATTTATTATCAATTATTTAGACAAAGCACAAAGCAAACAATAGAAATAAAAAATATGACTGAATGATTGTAACAAACAAATGTAGATAACTTTGATAATGAAGAAAGGGAAAACGGCGGCTAACAAATGTCTTTTGTTTTCAATCATAAGGGGATCATTGAGTAACTATAAACAGTTGCAATTTACACAGATTTTAATTAATTTTCACCAATAATTTATCATTTCTTAGATTTCAACCTAATCAAAATCACTCGCAACAATCACAAAGAAATTTAAGATTAATTATGTTTTCCAATTTGGTTAAATATGAGTTCTATGCTAACTGTTCATTGAATTCTAGAAAAATTCTCGAAACAATTCATTTCGCTCAATAATCTTAGTTAATAATCTATTGTGTTTTCTTATTTCGAACGAATTAATTGTTTTTCTCAGAATCTATGATAAATTAAAGGTCAAGAGTTTAGTTATATTATTATTTTACTGATTATCTAACTGTAATTTATTATCTTCCACCAAAGAGTATACTCTTTGTCTTCCACCTTGTCCATGAAATTCATACAAGTTAGTAACTATAGTAGTGCCATCTTTTATTTCTTGAGCTAGCTATACTTGATTTTTTTCATAAACAGAAAGTCACGTTTATTTAACCTCTTCAAATTTTGTTAATTAATTTCTTAATTAATCGATTATATTACCTTTTTTGAGTGAAATAATCTTTATTTAAGTGTCACCAATGGATAGTGAAATTCTGGAAACTTCCCCTGATCCTGTCATCTCATGTTTAAGAAATTTCAAAGACTACATGTGTTCACTCCTTGCCCCCAAAACAAGAGAGAAACACGTTGTCAACATTGAAAATAGTTTTGCTCTTATTCTTGAAACCTTAGCTTCCGCATCACAAAACTCTGAAGTTATCAAGAAACTCGTTTCTATTGAAACAGCTCTAAAAACTCAACAATCATCAACATCATATGCTAGTGTAACTGCTGGTTCTAAATCCAAAGTGAAAACTTTTCTGGTCAAACCTGCAAATCCTGAAAAGAATAAAGAAACAAGTGAGGCGA